TTCCATAATTAATTGCAATCCTGCCAATGCTCCTAAAATAAATTAGCACCTCTTTCTGACCTAGAAGCATTTTCAGTTCCCAAAAAATGCTGTTTGGAAGAAGCAAAGCAAAGAAAAGCTACTGTACTTTCCATTTTGTGGACTCCCATTCTTCTTGTTTTTACCATTGGAAGATATGGATGTTTAACCCCGTGGTGGCTGTAGCATCCTTTCTCCCTCCGTGTCAGCATGGCTGAGAGTGGAATTCTGAGCCCTGAAGCACTTTTTATAACTATAGCAGAAAGGGGATTTATTCCTTTGAAATCAATTCAAGACCTCGGCCTCTGGCGCTTCCCTTGGAAGAGAGTCTAACGCCTCGCACTCCACACCGCACGCAGCAAAGTGAGCCCAAAGCGGCCACCGGGCACAGAGCAGGCAGAGTCCCTGAGGGTCTTCCCTGCATTGTTCTCTACCGGGGGGGGGGCTATCTGGACCTCCGAGCTCAGGTGCCACGGGGCCTGTCTTTGCAATTTTAGTTTCAGCTTCAGAAAGCAGAGGACCAAGCCTGGCCTCCTGGGCTTCGGAAGAGCTAAAGCCTCTCCAGAGGAGGCAATGCAACAGGAGGCACCTTTGCAGGAGAATCCCAAGGCCAGAAAGAGGGAGGTCGGGGCCGGTCGGGGCAAATCAGGGAGGGGACACTGAAGCCAGGGAGCCGAAGTGGAAGGAAGTGTCGGTGCAGCAGTTAACAGTCAACGCTGTAAGAAACGTCAGGATGGAGATGCTGAGAAATAATCCATGGGGCGGGAGTCCTTCTCACCCACAGGCGGAGCTTCGGAGAGCCCGACCGAGGGGTGCTCATTTAATGGAGGTTTTTTCATATCATCCCTTAACATCATTAGTGCAGCCCTGCCTATTTTTAGCTTTTACGGATATTTAAAATGCATATTAGGAATATATTACTTCATTGAAACAGCCAGTTCAGTTTCAAATATGGACACCCCAATCCAACGATTGAAAGAAATGTGAGAAAAAAGTGTTTCTAAATCACCGAATCGGTTAGGAGACGGCTGTGGGAGCACCAGGTGTAACGGGACTCTCTCATGAAGTTTGGAAAGTCCACTCATTCCAATCTCCCGTTCAGAGGTTGGCGCCTGCAGAGAGGGCCTGGGGGGGGGGCTGTGAGCCTTCTTGCTGCAAGGGGGGTGGGGTTAACCTCCCAGTGCAGATGCGGATCTCAGCCTCTTAAAAGAAAGACACACCTTGGCTGTAGTTGAGAAGCAGGTGGGAATAATATCAAGCGTGGCAATGAATCGCAGGCACTTGCTAACCTTTGACCAATATTAAGCATTCCAATAGGGCAGGGGTGTCCAGGCTGGCTGGGGAATTCTGGGAGTTGAAGTCCACAAATCTTAAAGTTCCCAAGTTTGGACACCCCTGCAATAGGGCGTTCTGCTTAGTACAAATTTTCTTAGGACTTTATGGTAAGAACAGGCCTAGAAGGGACAGAAGATAGAAGTGGTAGCTTCTGGCAAGATGTTCTCTTTAATATACCCATCATATTCACACACATGGCTGACTTTAAACCTTGTTTTGTCAGCCTGTATCCTGATCCTCTCGAGCTCTTAAATGGTCCCCACAGGGTGGACCTGGGATGGTCTGCTCCCCTTCTTGGCACAAGGCACCGGAAGCCATCAGTGGAATAGTTGGGCTCAGTTCAGGAAAGCTCGACAGCAATGCTTTCTTCGCGCCTGCTAATGTGTCCATGGCAAGGAAGACGCCGCCTCATGGCTTCCGCAGATGTGCTCCGCTGCACTGCCCAGACAGTTTTGCTTTTCCTTTGTTTTTCCGCTTGTATTTATGATTACCTTCTTCCTGCTCTCCACTCCTCCCATGAACTCACATAGGCAAACCGAGCAAGAATTAGAAACATGCTTTTCGGAAGGTAAAACTGTAAAATTTCTAGAATTTAGAACGAGGCTTTAGGATCCGCCACATGGAAATCAATTATAGCTATGTTTTAAATAAAAAAAACCCAAACGATACAATTCCCTGTTGCTTTGCTTATCAAAACATCAGCAATCTGAACTCACTTAAATACCCCGAAGTACACTAAAATATACAGTGCAAGCAAGTCCGTGATTAATTGGACTAAATGCTGAATATGAAGATTGTCAGATTGTCTTCCAATTGAAGCTTGATTCATAATGCTACAATTAAAATTCAACAATTAAGTAGGTTTTCTTTTTAAAAAATGCATCTAAATAGACATCAAGTATATAACTTACTAAAAGCACTTCAGCTCATCTCCAGTCTCAACATCCCCTCCCCCCCCCACTGGGTCCAAACGCCACAAAGGTCTCCCGGATGGATTTGTTTTGGGGGGGGGGGGCTGAACGATATTACGGGATCTCCCCCCCATCAGGAGTCAGCCTGGGTGTGCCTGGGAACTCGGTAATGCTCCGATTTGACACGGGCCTTTTTCTCTGGTGGATTGGCATACTTCCACTTGGATGGAGTCATTTTCAGCTTTTTCCTCTTCTTGTCTGTGCACCAGACTTTTTCGCAATATTCCTCCACTCTCTGAAAATTGCTGTATCCTATGAGTTGCAGGAACTCCTTGTACCAGGGCTTCGATCCGTGGGAGATGCTGCTCTGGGCAGGGCAGGGCATTTTCTGAGCCAGCTCCTCTTCGTAGTCCTTGCTGAACATGTAATCTACACGCTCCTCTTCCACCACTTCCAGGGTGATTTTTCTCACCGTGTGAACAATGCTGTGCTCCACCGTCTGGCAAAAATACGTCCCAGCATCCATCCGGTGCAGTCTTAGAAACAAGAGCCCGATGTCCATTTTAAGGATCCTCTCATCAGCCTTCACCTGCGGGCGGGTCAAAGAGGAAACTGTTTCATCCATAAGAAGGTTAAAACAAAAATCAGACTCATGCAGAACTAAGATCGACTAGCAGTAAATGATTACATTTCCTGATATAATCGCAGACTTGTGTAACTGAATTGGGTTTAGAGGAGGAGTCTAATAAATGTATTAGTAAAATTTAGAAAATTTTGAATAAAATTCAGGGATGTTAAATTCAAATAACTTGAAGCACAATATACCCCAAAGTTAAGTTTTTGAAGGCATCGCTAGTTTTACTGATTTATTTGTATGTAGTTTTTTCCCCCCGATTATCCTTTTGGTCTTGAAGTTGCCCTCAACATGGAAAAAACGGGGAGAATGTAACTTCCTTGTTTAAAGTAGATGCGATCACAGTGGATCTGGGAGTCCGCAGCAGCAGCACCCAATTCTCCAGAGAGGCTGAGGGACCTGGACGATCTTCGGCCCGTTCAGAAGGCTTCCTACTACACATGTTGCTCTTTAGGTTCAGTTAGCTACCTTGAATGATGCTAAACTATTTGGGGAGGAATATTAGTGGAAGCGCGGAATCACCAACTCAGTGGGACTGATGGAAGGCATGCAACGCTTCTTTCGCTAACCATATTCCATGAAACAGAAGCAGGGCTTGGGGGGTGTGTGTGCACGTGCGTTGTGTTTGTGTGTGTGTCTTTGAACCTGAACAAACCGACAGAACACTGAACGTAGTGAGGGGGGGGCATAGAAGGACTTAGGGGTGTGCAGGGATTCTGTTTCAAAGGGCAAAGTGGGGAGGGGGCTTTTGTGGGAGAGCAGAGCAGCTGTCGGGAACCCCTGGATCTCCCAGCAAAGTCCCTCAGGAAGATGCTTGCCGACAGGAACCCCCCTGCGCCTGGTACCCCTGTACCCCAAACCCCGCGCTGCCCTTGGACCCCAGGCGGTCTGCAGAGGGAGACCCCACGGAGGCCAGAGCAGGGCCAGGGCCAGTACCTCTTCCTTCCGGGCTTCGTGCGCTCTCTGCACAAGCCACATCACTTTGGCCTGCAGGGTCCTGGGGACGCACTCCAGGAGGGTGCTGTTGTGCTCTATGCCGTACACCAGCCGCTCCTCTGCTTTGCCCGAGGCGTCTCCTGCGGACGGGAGGAGGCACCCATCAGCACCCACCCCCAAAGGGGGGCTTTGCTTTCAATACGCAAAGGAGAACAGCAGCCCTCCCCCCCCCACCCGCATTAGGCAGCCGCTAAGCATTCAAGCAGGAGGACCAATACAGATTCTTCTCCACGTGGTGTTTTCTTTATGAACAGTGAGCCCCTTTGCACAACAGGCACTTCGACTAGACGCCCCTCTCTCCTAGCACAGAATTAACAGAAAATCCTATAGACATTGCCCCCGCCTCCCCCCCCCCCTCCGCACATAACCTCTGAGTTGGGGCAAGCCAGGTTACAATCTGCGCAGCTCCTCCTGTTAGCAACATTAGGACGAGACAACATTGGTTTCCCCTGCCTGAAACCGGGGCCCAAAGTAGGAAATATATGACTCTAAGGTCCCCCCCGTTCCTCCACCCACCCGCAATGGACTCCCTCCCTCTGCTGATGCAACCCGGGGCTGCCCTCAGCCTCTTGCCAACTTCCATCCCCACCATCTTTCCCACGTTCCTCTTGGGCACAGAAGAGAAGAGAAGCGATTACCTATCAACTGCTGGCCGAGGCACTGCTGAGCTGCGTTTCCGTGACGGATATCTTGTCTACGGAAGCGTCTACGGAGCAAAAGGAAAAACAACTTGCAATTTGCTTCCACGTGTTGTGAATTTGGAAAACGGGCTCCTTCAATTACCAGGGTACACCGGTTCCATGACCCCAGACTTTGGCCAGAAAGGGGGTCACTAGAGGATTATCTAGTTCACCTCCATCGGTCAATCCGGCCCCCAAGGGGGGACTCACAGTCATTGGATCGAGGCTGGCCGTCCTCAAAGAAAGCGGTGCCCCCTCCGATGAAGACTTCCTGCCAACCAGACGGGCCCTTTCACGGGCCAAGTAAGGTTCCTACCTTTTCGTCTGTGTCCCTGTGGGATAATATCTGGAACAGGAGATCCCATCCCAGGCACAGTAGGGATCTCTTGCCAGGCAGCAGTCGGCGCAAGCCGTCCCATACATGTCACACTGGTGGAACTTCACCTGTGCAACCGCAGACTCCGACCCAACGTAGATTTGTTGCTGCAAGGAAAGCACAGAATCTCCCCTGAAGGAGAGATCCTCCTTTGGGCGGACGATCCGTGGCTTCCAAAGGGGGGGGGGGGCGGGAGAAGGTACACGACAAACATGCAGTGGAAAGAAAGGCCCACATTGTTGTGGCTGGAAGAACACGATCAAGCCTGGGTTGGGAGACGCATGGCCTCCCCTCAAGCCGCCACTCAGCATGGAAGTGAAGGAAGAGGGCGGCCGCTTCCCTCTCTGGCCTTTAGCCTTGCAACCCGACCTCTGAGGGGAACCGCCGGCTGGCTCCCTTCAGCCTCCCTCGTGCAGTGGAGGAGGACGGGAGGGAGCTTTCGGCCAAAGGGAGGCCCGAGACCTCTCGGCCTGCCTCTCTCTCTTCATCAAACTCCCTGCTTCTGCAATGAAGCTGCAACGTTGCAACAGGTTATAATGAATTTGAACCTCCTTTGTGGCCTGTGGTGGACGGTGGGCACTTGTTGATTTGACGTGACTTGGCAAAAGGTACATTATTGTAGAATCCTGGACAAGATTTGCTAAACAAGGCTGAGCTAGCGTTCTTTGCGAGGCAAGCGGGTGTGAAAGGGTCCACCCATCTCTTCACTGCTCAGAGAAATAAAAATCAGAGCATCAACTGAATTTGGTATTAAATCGCTTAAGACGCCTTCAAATATTCTGCTATTCTTAGCAGAACCAGGCTTTCTTTATCAATAGCTGCGGCAAGATCTCATTTCACATTTTATGAATCAGGAAAAAGGGATCGGATACGTAGCAGTTGAAGGAAATTCGACACAGCTTGTATCGAGCGGAATACACACAGTCACACATGCATCTACTGTATGTGTACGCACACACACACACACACAGAGGGAGAGAGGCAAGTATGTCTCTGAACGCTTCTCTGGAAAGTAGAGCACGGCTGTACATTAATATTTAACATTCTCGACCACTCCCTGAAAATTCATTTTATATCGCATATTTTGTTGCACTGCAGTAGCCAAAGAGCTTTAAGGCCGCGGCTCTCTTGAAGCGGAAGGCGAGGAGGGGTAAGAAAGCAGAAAATCTGACCCTGCAGAGGGTAACGTAGAAGCAGCCCCCCCATTTCACATAAATGCACTGAATTGGATATTATTTGACTGAACTGAACTGATATATAAACCAGTTCTACCTAAAAACGCTACGAATAAAAGGTGGGTCTTTCTAAGCTTTAGCTTTTGGTGCCCCTGAGTTAGTCTTGACTCCTCGCAGCTGCCTGGAGAAGCTCCGACAGTTTCCTTGGCTGCAGATTTTTCCACAAGTGGCTGACCCTTGCCCACTTTCTAGGGCTGAGGGAGAGTGACTGGCCCAGGGTCACCCAGCTGGTTTGGCGCCTAAGGCGGGACTAGAACGTAGAGTCTTTGTGGGAAGATTATGGGCTGCTTCCTGTTGGATGAATCAAGATGTTTTAAGACATAGGATGCCCTGAAGAGACGCACCCTGTATCCTTTGGGATACCTCTGCCTATACTGGGAATCTGCACCTGTGGAATGTCTGCCTGGCTGCTTCGTTGTTTTTTTTTTAAGCCAGGGGCTGACCTGAACACCTAAAGCCTGATAGGAGCCCCTTGGTTTGCAAAGCTCTCCTAGCAGAGGAGAACCTGGACATCTTGCCAGGAAAAGGATTTAGTTCCCTCTTTCTTGGGCCACGGATCCTGATGGGACCATTGGGGGTGGGGGGGGGGAGGGATAAGAGTTTAGAAGAACTACTTTATGATCTCTGAGTGTCCACATGTTCGATATATTCACAGGCAGCTAAGAAGAATGAAATAATTTTCTTTAAAAAAGGAATAACACTTACTCTTTTGGAAGAAATTTCCATAAAAATAATGGAAGCTGGCACCTGAAAGGGAAAACATTTTTCTTAATTAGGAAAGAGGCCATCCAGGCAGTTAAGATCGCAAGAATTGCACATTCTGTGCCAAGATCGCTTCGCAATCTCCTGCAAAGGTAGATTCCTTCTGCCTCTCGGCCTTCCTTCAGGCCCCCCAAAGCCTTCTGGGATGAGCAGGGAGCAGCTTTACCCCTGGCCAATGGGTTGCCCTGTGCCCCTCCCCTGCCACCCCGTCTCCTGCCAGCTTCTTGGCCCACCTTCCAATAACATGAACGAAAAGGCAGAGGAAAAACAGCAGCCAGGACCCAAAGAGCTTCGTAACTGCTGGAAATGGCCCTTTGCCTCTGTCTGCCTCTTCCGGCCTCAAAGAAAGGAGCCGTTTCGTCAAGGAATTAAGAGAGGCTGCACAGTTTGTACTGAGGATAAGATTTAAACAAGCCTTTCCTGCCTGCCATATTTCTCAAGGCATCCTGGACATCATTGTAGGAAGCAAAATCCAACACACACACACACACACACACACGCACGGACACAGAGCCTGGATAGTCTTCAAGGGCAGCCCCATGTAGGGTTAATTAGGGGAGCCTAAATAAGTATGGATGACAAGCAGTCTACACAGGTAGGCCAGTGAGTGATGTGGCAGAGATGGTCCCACGTCAGGAAGAGCACGGGTGTGATGTGTGCCCTGTGTGGAAGCGTCGGTGGTAAAAGAGCCAAGGTGGCGCAGTGGTTAAATGCAGCACTGCAGGCTACTGCTAGATCAGTAGATCAGCGGTTCAAATCTCACCGGCTCAGGGTTGACTCAGCCTTCCATCCTTCCGAGGTGGGTAAAATGAGGACCCAGATTGTT